AGGAAAGGGTGCCCAAGCCCCAAGGCCAGCAAGGGTCCCACGTCTGGGCCCTGGCCGGGGGTCAGGGTGGCCCCTAGTCCTTGGGCCGGAGGCTGGCGTCATGCCCTCTCTGCCCACTGGAGGGGGGCGGGGCGGGGCTCCTGCCCAGGCCCTGAGCTGCCTGGCCACAGGTGCGCCGGCCGCTCGCCCTGCCGCAGCTGGTGGGGAGAGGGCCCTGCCCGTTCCTGCTCAGGTGGGGGCCAGGTTTAGGAGGTAGAACTGAGGTGACCCCAGTCGCGCACCTGGATCGTGAGCACGGGCCCCCGGGTGGGGCGGGGCCCCGCTTCTGCTCCCTCCTTCTTGCCCTCCAGACATGCCCTCTGGGACCAGGGCCCCCACTGTGGCTGCCTGCCCAGCCCCCCTACACCCCAGCTCCATGCCTGTCCACCCACCCATCCGTCCGTCTGTCCGCTGCTGACCTCTGTGTCCACGCTGTGCCACCCAGGCTGGCTGGGGGCCGGGCTCCAGGCCTCCTGGGAGGAGGGTGGCAGGCCCGCTGGCTCCAGCCTCCCCGGCCGCCAGCCCCAGGGTCCTGCTTGGCCCCGGCCTTTAGGCGTCTGTCTCCAGAGCTGGGCTGGCCCGCTGGCCAGGCTGCGGGGCTGACTGGGAGGCCGAGGCTGAGGTGGAGGGAGGGCCGGTCCTTCGGGAGGCCTGGCGAGGGAGGAAGGTGCCCACCGGCCCCAGCTTCCGCCCCGCAGCCCAGAGGCCTCGAGCCCCCACCGGCCGCCTGCCCTGCTTGCTGCCGCGGCCCCGCTCACCTGCTCGGACCCCCTCACGGGCCTTTCGTTCATTCTGTCTGTTGTTCTCTCTCTTCCCTCCCTCCCTCCTTTTCTCTCTTTTCTTTTTTTCTTTTGTCTTCTGTTCTGTGCACCCAGGCAGCCCATTGAGTAACTTCTTTGACGTAATTAAACAACTTTTTTCAGACGAGAAGAACGGGCAGGCGGCCCAGGCCCCCAGCACGCCCGCCAAGCGGAGTGCCCACGGCCCACTCGGGGACTCCGCGGCCGCTGGCCCCGGCCCTGGAGGGGACGCCGAGTACCCAGCGGGCAAGGACACGGCCAGGACGGGGCCGCCCGCCGCCCGCCGAGAGCACGGCCCCGACAGTGGCCCCCAGGCCGCCTCGCCGCCCGCTCGCCCACCCGCCGCCCGCCCGGTGTGGACCCGGGGCCGCGCCCGTCTGTCCGTCTAGACTGTTGTGAAGCCGGGGAGGAAAGGAAAGGGGGCACCGGGGGCCACAGCCGCGGCTGGGCCGCCCGCGCCCGCTCTCTCTTTCTCTCGCTGTCTCTCTCCCTGCCTGTCTCTGACAACGCCACTGTTTCCGCTCTGATACCAGGAATTATCCCGAAAAGTTAACATGTCATCTCCACGAGGCCGTCCTCCGTGCTCTGCACCGGACACCGGCTGACCGAAGGCAGCTGCCGTGGACCTGCCCTCTCTCCTCTCCTGCTGCTGCCGCCCACTGGGCAGTGAGGCCCTGCCCGCCCGCCAGCTCTGCCCAGTTTCAGCTCCGCATGGCCACGGGGAGGAGGACCCGGCCCCGAGGGGAAGCTGCCTCGGGCCCACCCGACTGGACGCACGGTGACCAGTGCCCCCGGCGGGTCCGGCCGGCCTCCGGGGCAGGCCCAAGGGAGCGAAGCAGCCGTCTGGCCCGGCCGGCACGGCCTCTCCTCGGCACGTCCCCTCCCTGCTGCTCCCTCCTCGTCCACGTCCATGCACCTCAGCGCCGCCCACCTGCCTCGCCGCATCCCACCCCCCAGCTCCCCGGGGCTGCAGGTGGAAAGAAACCCCGGGGGCCCTGCAGCACCCGCCCACCTGCCCGCCCACCCGCCCGCCCCAGGGCAGGCCGAGATCAGTATTATTTACTTGCTGTTTTAACTTATTGAGTTTCTTTACTTCTCCGTTCAGGGAAGGGGCAGCAGCAGCGCCGTCCTGCCGTCTGTCTGTGTGTGTGTCTTGGGCCGGGTGGGGTCTGGGCCAAGGTGCCCCGTGGACAGAGCGGTCGGGGTGCTGGGGCCGCGGGGGCAGCCGGCCGATGCAGCGCCGGCAAGCTACTGTAAACTTTAAAGAATTCCTGCAAGATATTTTTATAAACTTTTTTTCTTGGTTGTTTTTGGAGAAGGGTGTTGGCATAGGGTGTTGGTGGTGCCTGCTCCACAGAGCACTGCTTTGGAAGGAAGGCTCATTACTTAGGCTATGTTGTCAGCTGGCTTGGGTGTGAGTCCAGGCGGGGGTCAACTACTCGTTTTAGTTTCCTCATCTCTAACATACTTACATATAATGAGATTGGCGTCCCTGGATTTTTGGGAGAATTGTTTGAGGTCATGCATGTAATGCTCAACCTTTAATAATATAAATATATTTAGAGAACGGCGCGGTTCGCTCCGTCCCCGGTTCTGTGCCGTTACCGCGGAGAAGCGACTCCAGTCCTGTGGGGGCCGGGCTCGGCCAGGGCCCCTCCGCCAGGCCTGGGCTGGGGGCCATCTTGGTTTTGTGTCCGAGTGCGGGGCGGGAGGAAGGCCCGAGCCGGCCGCCTATACACTACACGCAAGATGGCAGGGCCACTGCAGGGTTTTTTTTTTTTTTTATTAAAATGACAAAAAAAGTTAAAAACAAAACAAAACAAAAAGCAACAAAGGACAGAGAGAACAGTAGCGGCGTCCTCGGCAGCGTGTTATCTGTTCCCGGAGGGGCCGCGAGGCACGCGTGGCTGCACGCCCTCGCTGTGACAAGTCCGCTTCGCATCTGGCGTCTCTCCTGCCCGCCCTGCTGCCTCTCCCGTTGTGCATAGATTTTAATGCTTCTGTTCCACTGACCCCCTACCACAGGCTGGGATTTCAACACATAACAAAAAATGAAACACCTCTAACAGCAAAAGCCGCGGTACAAGCGGAGGACCAGAAAGCAATACCTCTCGTTAGCCTTCCTCTTTTGTACTCGGGACACACACAGACGTCACGGAAGCGGACGAGCCCCACCCCGTGTATCCCCTGTCGAGTAACTGTGAGCAACGTTAGTTCCGAACAATAAATTCCTTCAGCAAAGACACCCACGCCGGTCTCCATGCAGGCGGGTGGGCGGGCGGGCGGGGATGTGGGACCACCCGGGACCGCCCCTGCCAGGTGTGCGTGGTGCCACTTCCGCCCCAGCCGGAGGACAGGCCCTGTGCTGCGGGTCTGCGCGGGCATCACACGGGCTGGGCCAGCTGGGAAACGGAGAGCACGGGGAAGCACCACCAGAGGCTGACACGGAGCTCTGCTGGGGATGGGGTGCCTGAGAGTACGGCGCCCCGCCCGGCCACTGCAGCTCTGCCGCCACCCCGAGACCTCAGCCCGAGACCAGCACCTGGGCTTCCTGGAGGATGAACCTTCTTTCCACTCCTTCCGTGGGAAGAGGCAGATGGGGAGCGTGGCCCAGGCCTGCAAGTGATGAGCCAAGGCTGGCGGGCGGCCCCTGGAGACGGTGGCTGGCAGGGCAGTGTGGACGGAGGCACCATGACCACGCACCAGGGAGCCACCCCCTCTGCCACTGCGGCGTGAAGGACAGGCCCAGCCTCCCGAGTGCCACGGACCACCCAGCCGCACGTCTTGAGGGCGGCACCTGGCAGTCACCACGCGGCCCTGAGGAGGGAAGAGCAGCAGCCCGACGGGGGTCCCCGGCAGAGACCACAACGCTCTCAGAGGCCCCCCCCCCAGCCTCTCACGCGTGCACCTCCTCCCCCACGTGTGAAGGGGATCAGGTGTGGCCTGGCCACTCTGCACCCAGCCGTCTACACCACCGCAGCACACTACCGACCTTGGGCCTGCGTGGTTCTCTGTGGTGGGGACCGTCCTGCCCGTGGCAGAATGTCAGCGTCATCCACGGCCTCTGCCCAATAGATGCCGGTAGCAGCCTCCCAGCCCCACATGACAAACTGCTCCCAACCTTGCCACCCGTCCCTGAGGGCGGACAGACCAGCCTAAAGAGCCCACGCTCTTGCCTGCTGCGCGCCCTGCTTCACTGGCTTAGCTGTGAGCTCGGGGGCTCTGCTGGAAGGGCACAAGGCCCAGGACACGAATGAGGGTCTGCCGACATGGAGCTGGGGCCCGCTTTTGCCCAGCCCCGGACACAGCACCCCACCTTTGAGGGAGGCCTCAGAAGGTACTCTGGGACCAGGTCCTGTTGCTGTCTCTGGACTGCATGGTGTCCCATTAACTTTAGCTTAAAAGCCAAGTTGAAGGAGGGGATTTGGTTGCTGCGTCTCGGCAGGGAGCGTGGTTATGTGGCTCCGGGCAGCCACCAGGGTTTCCTTGACCTGTGGTCCTGCGTGTGCTTTATTGAAAGAGTCGCTGACACACACAGGCCTCCTCGTCTCCCACTTGGCCCTCTCAACGCTTGCAGTCTGATGTGTCAACCTTAGTGGGCACATGATGGAGTCCCCAAAAGGAAATACCACAGTACACCCAGCAGACGGCCAGCTTTCCGTATGCCCACCACTGCACTCCTGTAGTGGGAAGGGGACACTTTCCTGCGATCCCACTTCTGAAACCAAAGCAAGCTCAAAAACTGTTAGTGTCAAATATTTACTCATATAAAATAAAAACCAACACGTGAGGACTCACTATGTGCCAGATACCTTCTGAGCACTTTACGCTGAGCATTAAGCCAAATGGTCCTCACACCACGTCTATGCAGTAGGAATTTAAATGGGCACTTGTGAAAAACAAAAAGGATATGGTGGTGGGTCCACAGGGGAGGACTTCTCAGGCCCCACTCTCAGGTGGCCAGCCTGACTGGCCTGGGGAGCTGGGTTCCTGGTGAACAAACAACGTGGTGTGCTCGCCAAAGCAAATGTGGATGGGGTCGGGGGAGACAGTCTGACCCGTGTCCCCACAGGGGCTCTGAGTCCTACCGGGTGGCAGAGGCAGAGGGGGCGGGGCACACACGAGGGAGGGGATGTGTAAGCAGCGGCCCAGCCCTCATTCTGCTCTGCCAGGAGCCCACCCTGGGTTCTGTCCATGCTCTCAGTGGACAGGGGGGGCAGAGGGCCCCAGGCTCCTCGGCTGTGAGATGGAGCGGTTCCTGGCGTCATGAGGCTGCTCCAGGGAGCGCGCTGCTGGAGGTGGGCTGGCCTCATCCCGCCCTCCCCTCTCCCCGGGCTTCAGTGCCCACTCCTCCTGCCCTCACCCCCGGCCACCAAGTCCACTCCACTCCCCCGTCACACTTTGCCTTTCCTGGGCCCACGCCGCTCCCCACCACCAGCCCAGGTCCTCGGTGTGACTCAGCGAGGGGGTGGAGGTTCTGGCAGGAGCAGAGAGTGGCCGGGACCAGGAGGAGAGAAAACCCGTGTGAGCTCCAGGCAGGGAGGTCTGCGGAGGAGGAGGGCAGCAGAGACGGACACAGACAAGGCAGGGGAGCCAAGTGCCGGCCTCGGGGCCTCAGGTGGGATTGCGGGGTCTATGCTTTTAGTCACAAGCCCAAGCACTGCCGTCTGTCACACTCATCCTTGGAGTCTGGCCCTGGGTGAGGTGGATCATCTCTGTGGGCCCTCAAAATGACCCTATGAGAGTTCCATGGCCCGTCTCACAGATGTATGAGTCTCCTATTGCTGCTGTAACAAGTTACCAAAAACCAAGTGGCTTAAAACCACACAAATGTGCCATCTTAAGATCTGGAGGTCAAGAACTGGGTCTCACTGGCTACAATCAAGGTGCTGGCAGGGCTGCGTTCCTTCTGGAGGTCCTGGGGGAAATCCATTTCCTTGTCTTTTCCAGCTTCTTGAGGCCGCCTGCGCCCCTGGCTCGCAGCCCCTTCCTCGGTCTTCAAAGCCAGCAACATCAGAGGAGCCCTTCTCACACTCCACCTCCCTGCCTCTCCCTCTTCTGGCGCCCCCTTCCAGTTTTGAGGAATCTTGTGATTATACTGGGCCCAGATAATCTCTCCATCTCAAGTTCAGCTCATCAGCAACCTTACTTCCACCTGCAGCTTTACTTCCCCTTTGCTATGGAAGGTAACATGTTGACAGTCTCCAGGCACCAGGGTGTGGACTCTTCCTTTTGGCGGCTGGCGGTGTGTGTGTGTGTGTGTGTGTGTGTGTGTGTGTTATTCTGCTTACCGCAGACTCTGCCCTCTAGCAAGTCCCACATCTACCTCACGTGTAAAACACACCCCATTCCTGAGGTCTCCAAAAGTCTCAACCCATTATGGTTTCAAGTCAAACCCCAAATCTCATCTAAATCATCTGAATCAGGTAAAAGTGAGACTTGGAGTATGACCCATCCTAGCACAAAATTCCTTTCCACGTTGAACCTGTGAACCCAGGAAAGTTATCTACTTCCAAAACACGATGGTACAACAGGCATAAGATGCCAGGTACAGGGTCGGGGGACAGCGCCCTACAGAAGCCCCTCACCTCTGCCCACAGGGGGCTGGACAAGCTCCAGGGTTGTTCGCGCCACGGCCACCCTGCCCAGCCTGCGCTGCAGGCACACACCCCTCTCTCGAGCTCTCCCTATGCCCACCCCTCAGGCAGTGCTGCCCTGTCCAGAGGTGGTCCCTGCAGCAGAGCCCCTGGGACGGGCGGGCTGGCTGGCTGGGAAGCACCCCCCGCTGACTCCAGCCCACACTCTAGGGTCCCTGCCGCCTGCGTGGAGTGGGCACAGCACAGGGAGTCAAGGGCCCCTGGGGACTCGAGACACAAAGCACGGCCCCCGC